TGTCAGGAGCCGTCACCTTGTCCGCAACCCCTGGTCTCTCAGAACGTTCCGAAAGTGATGCCAGTCTGGACAGGTCCACCATCGATGATTTAGTGGCCCGTGTTTCTCGGCTTCGTTGCATTGCGGCCATAGAGGAACTTGAGTCTAATGTCAGGATTTTGGGTTTTGAAACAGTCAGTCCAAAGGGACTCAGAAACGAAATTCGAACAGTTTTTCCAGCTAATGTCTTGCGCTTTTCCCTCTTCTGGCACCCTTCCTGGGAGCGAAATTGGGTCGTGGCTGCAACAAGCAGTATCACAGGTGACAACTGGTGGGTTGTGCAACTTCGCCGATCCTCAGAAGTTGCAACAGATTTTTCGGTCTCTGATACAAGTGTTCCACTTTGTTCAGGGCATAGCATGAGCGACACCTTTCTTGCTACGAGCCACCAAACTCGCTCTTCCTCATTCCCCGATTTGGGCTACTGTCTTTCTGGGATGGTAGCAATTTATGCCAATGTCAGCTATCTATCCGATTTGCAATCAGTTGAGTTTCACCCACCATTGTGCGCATTGAAGGTTGAGTCCGATCTTCAAATCCCGGATATTTTCATTCGCTACCAAGTATCAAAACTTCCTCGGGCGCTTCAGCTAGTTTTGCCCGCGGGCCTGAAGAGAAAGAATCTTCTCAAGGATACAGTTCGCCTTGCCTTCCATGGGATTGACCGTCACAAGAATAGTGCCATATTTGTGGCGTATGGCAACTTGGTGGGACCTTGGACAGATTTGTGCACATTAGTTTCAAAGTCGGACAGCTCCCTAGTTTTCAAGCGAGGAGGCAGTGGCTTTGCCCTTCGGCTTCTCGCCCCTGCTGGTCGACCTGTGATCGTACAGCTGTTTAAAAGCCTGCAGACTCTGGAGTGCACGTTGTCAATTCTCGATTTTCTTCGGCAAAGGAGATTGACACCTCAGTCGTTATCGCTTACTCATATAGCCTTTGCTTACGGCCCAAGAAGGGATCTCTCAGCCATTATCGGGATCGGATTGTCCGAGGTCCCCTCTTCTGCGGAGCTTGACCCTGTTCGCATTCTAGCAAGGACTGACCCCTTACTTTTTCTCACTCTGGGTATTCGATTTAAGCATCCGAACCCTCATCGCCGGGTCCAGGGGTCTCTCGCTGCCATTTTAAACCATGCTTCTAATGAAGCTGGTTTGGATTTCGTAACCGAGATTCTCTCTTTTACACTTCCCTTGATGCGAGCCTTGGAGCAAATAACGTCTAACGCGTCTCGCCAGGAGTCGTTCAGGTTACAGGTGATTGTGCGCAATGCTTGCACATTCCTCCTCCATTATACTTATCAGGGCTTCCGTTTTCAACTCACAACGAGCCAGCATTCGGGGCAATTGACTTGGGTACTAAGGGAATTGAGTAGCCCAGGGGCTGGGCCAGGCCACGACCAACTCAAAGCCAGGCTGCGAGGCACATTGTATCATTCCAACGGAAACGGTTGGAAAGGTCTTGGAAATGGAGTGGTTGCAGACGTTGAGGGAGTGAGCAATGTTATTTGGGCCCTCGATGGATGTTTCACCGGCGCTCAGCATAATACTTGGTTACCGCGAGAAACTAAATCTGACCAGGATTACTCAACTCAGCCAGTACCGGAGAAACAGAGTCAAACCGGGGCACCATCGCAGGCTGCCATGGCTAACGATACTACGATAACGGCGAACTTCGTTAATGACAAAAGTCTTCAGCGAAACCCTGTGGCTTCCAACGCTGCAGATGTTATTACAATTGACTGACACCTCTGTATAAAGTCATCGCGACTTTTTCATCTCTCTTGTACCCCGGGGGGCACCAACTTCGCGTGTGTAACAGGGTTGTCTCTAAGCAATGTCTCCTTCGGATGTATTCTTGCTAATACATTAGTCCATGTGTACATCCAGTTCACACCATGCAGTTTTGGCTGCCATATGATGATTGCACGTGAATGATGATATTTTACTTCGGGCAGTTAATACTCCTTTTAGAGGATCACATGTATATCGGCGCTGAGAGCTAAAACCACAACGTAGCGCCGACTTAGTTACATCCGATCAGCTCCTATACTTCACTCAATTCGGTTGGCTTCAGCACATGAAATAAAATTCCTAAAACCAAAAGAATTGCAGTTATGATTTGCTATAGCCGCTCCTCTTTCACACGCCCTCGATTTTTCAATATGTCATACTCAACCCATCTCATACATGTCGATCCTTCTTCAGAGATGAATCTTCCTGGGTTCATGACATGGCACCCTTCGTAGGTCATACAGAATGGTGCTACTTCAGGATCCGCCAAAATAAACGCTGTCGGCAATGGGTACAGTTGCAACGATGCTGCATGATCCCACAAGACAGGTCGCATCGATAGCGGAAATGGGGACATCGTACCCTGGTCTAGTATTGTTTTCACTAGTTTTCGTGCCGTGTGCACACTGGAGAAAGATTGCTGAGCTTTTGCATCTGCCGGATGGGCCTGAGCATGAGTTTCATTACCAGCCGTGGCAAGACCAGCCTCGGTTTCCGGATCTTGTGGAACTGCAGAATCACACTCATTCTCGCCTTGCTTAGTAACCACTGCGTTCCGCCTCAGCCTTCCTGTTATGTCATCTCGAAAGATGGCGATATCATGCAAGGGCCCAAAGACGGTGAGACGTGATGGGTTGGAGGTCCAGATAGCTTCGCCGGCAGGCTCGGAAGCTTGCGATCGCCCCGACTCCGAATTTGCCGATGCAAACGCACGCTTTACCCTCGACGTAAACATATCCGGAACTGGCTGACGTGGTACTGTCGAGGCAGCGCCCGCTGTGAAAGCAGACGACCATGGATCATTATCTCCAGGAACAAAGACGAAAGTAGAGTGTTGTAAAAGTTCAGGATAGTCGGCTAGTATAATGGAGAGTGAATCAAAGTACTCCTTGTACTCGATGCTGCCAGCATGGCCGCCTCCATTGATTGTGGCCTTCTGGACGAAGTTCCCTATCACGACAAAGACTATTGGGCGTTCGGTGGGCGAAAGCTCACTATATGTACTGAAAACCTTCCTCAGCGCGTCAAGCGACTTGAGGTTGTCAAGATTAACCTCGCTCATGATAGCCACTTTTAGTCGTACGGGCGAATCCGCGTCGTCGTGCACACCTCGCAAACATTTGGCTTGGATTCTCCTCATTCGTGAGCCTTGTGCGCGTTCACTCCCGATCCCTAGAAAGTCGACCCATCCAAAGCCTCCGCTAGAGCTAATCTCTCCGTTGCTGTACTGGTGATTTGTTCCCAGTGATATTTCTCGTCGTTCGCATGGAGGTCCGCAAATTGATACACCCACAAATCGACCCCCAATGGCGCCACCGACTCCGCTGTTTCCACCTAAGACTGATCCTCTCACGCTTCCCTCTTCTTCATAGACTCCATCGACGAGTACTACCATTCCGGGAGCAAACCAAGCACCATCGTCTGGTATCGTCCGGGCATGACTCATATCTAGCGCAACGCTACCTGTCAAATCGACCAAGGAGAGATCACCTGCGGGTGATATAGAGAGTAATCCTAGAAGCAGGTGTGACGTGCCACTTCTTCCAAGCAAGTTTGCAATCGGCGTCAACCTATAACATTGAGTGGGAGCGAATGAGGATGACGGCCTCTTCAGGGAGTGGCCTGTGGAATAACTCAACGATGATTGAAATGTCTCATTCCGGAGTAGGCGCTGATGGACAATGTTATAACGGTCTCTGAATACGCTAGTCTTGTGTGAAGCCTGCGGGAACAATGTAGCCTTTGACTTTGTTAATTCGAAGTACTTCTTGTCGACGTTGTAAGTCAAGCGGGGCATGTCGAATGCCTCAACAATCTTGATCCAATTTCTTGGGTGTAATGATAAGTCCAAGTCATCATGTTCCTCATCGTTGATTGCTGGGTCTGGGGATAAGTGTGGGTTCGGTCGCCTGGCATCACAATTGAGGGCATTCACGTCTATCGGTCCTTCTCTTGTTGCATTTGATTTCGCAGGAACTACCCTTCCTCCACTCATGTTGCCCTCTAAGGCCATCAAAATAGCCTTCAGTGAGGCCCCTCTGCCTTCCTCAACGATGACGCCGCCCCCGGCCTTTTTCCAGCTTTTAGCTACCTCATCCAAGACGCGCTCCGCAAGGCCTTCTTCGCGCCATCCAGAGCCGCAATGTTTTCCTACAAAGGAAGCCAAAGTCTGCAGTGCTGAGGACGAGATAGTCAAGTTGTGCTTCCTGGTAAAAGTACGGAAAGCCACAGGTCGAAGTGTGGAGGGTGGAAGTAGAATTGGCAAGACTGAGCTCCTCGCGACGGGAGCATTAAGATTCGATTTTCGTAGAGGACGTACCGGAGTGCCGAACCCTGGAGACGAAGAGAAGATGGGATCAGAGTCCAGACACCTGTCTCCAGCAAGCGGCGTGTGGTCCATTTTACTTCCGATGTGGTAGTAATTGCTTAGTCTCTTCAGAGATGTCTCGGGACTGAGGACCATATGAGAGTAGCTTCAAGGAGGATGAGCAGGCTATAAGTCATCCGCTGTGAGTTTCACTGCTTTTGTCATGACATAAAACGGGTACTCTGAAAAGGTAAACACGATGCTGGGCTAGAACGATCATGGGTGATCCAGATAACGATAATGATGATGTTGTTGTTCCTGAAAACTCGAAACACTGTATGTAGGTACTCCGTAAAGGTAACGGACCTTTAGAGAGACGCGTAGTTGCGGGTGCTCCACATATGCATACGCGCCGTGAGTTCCGCGACAAAGTTCTTAGGAAGGTTTGGGCTAAGAACTTACTAATTCTCTGTGCCGATAACTATACTTCGTCCTTCCAACGTTTCGCGAAGTAGAATCTATCTCGGCTTTGCAACTCCATTTTTCCATCCTCATTTGGATGTGCTTCATTTCTCATCGCTGAACAAGTGCCTGCTGATATTCCGAGCCTACTACATCCCCACGGTATCCTTGCCCTGACCGTCATGGCAGAGCTTAACTCAGCAAAAGCAGACCCAATAGAGCTGAAAAGCACCACAGATGTCAAGCGTGTACAGTTAGAAGATCTGATCGCGCGAGCTGTGGCGAAAGATGCAATCAAGGACTTTAATGCGGCTGCTGAGCTTTACTCCCAAGCTACGGAACTCCAAGCCGAGCTGAACGGTGAACTGTCACTCGACAACGCTGATCTGCTGTTCGCCTACGGCAAAGCTTTATACAACGTGGCGGTGAGCAAGAGCGATGTCCTAGGGTCAAAAGTAGCTGGAGAGCCTCAAGCTCAAACAAATGATCTACCTGCAAGCGGCTCCAAATCATCCGCGCATGTGCCTGGCGAGAGCGTTATCAAAAATGCGATCGCTAGTGGGGTGGCTAAGCAAGAACATTCCACGGATTCTAGATCCAGCCCTGGAAAGACTTTGAACCAGCCCTTTTTCCAATTCAGTGGCGATGAAAATTTCGATGATTCGGAATCTGAGGCAGAAGAGGGTGATGAAGGCGCTGATGGTGTTGACGATGACGATGACGATTTTGCCAACGCCTTTGAAGTCCTGGACTTGGCCCGTATACTCTACCACAAGAAGTTAGCCGCAGTAGAGGAATCATGTGGGGAAGGGAAATCCGCCGGCCTGCCGTCCGATGTCAAACACATCAAGGAGCGTCTCGCAGATACCTACGATCTACAGGCGGAGATTTCACTTGAAGGGGAGAGATTCACGGATGCGGTGGCGGACCTCAGGACTGCACTTGATCTGAGGCAATCACTGTTTTCTATGGAAGATCCTTCCCTTGCTGAGTGTCACTACAAGCTTTCGCTCGCACTAGAATTCGCATCTGTCAATAATCCCAGCGAAGGCACTACTGGAGGGGACAGTGACCGCCGTGGCAAGGTTGATGAAGCTATGAGAGAAGAGGCTGCGACTCAGATGGAGAAGGCTATTGAGAGCTGTCGAGTCAGAATGGCCCAGGAACAGAAGAAATTGGATGTATCAGACGCCTTGGACGAAGACAGAGAGACAGCTCTGAGAAGGAAAATAGCGAATGTTAAGGAGATCATTGAAGACATGGAGCAGAGAGTTAGTTCCCAAGGAACGTTCTATTCTTTGTTGCTTGTTACTGACGCATCACAGCTCCTAGATCTTCGTCGTCCGCCTGTGTCGGTTGAGCAACAGAACGAGGAAAGCGATACGATGCTTAGAGGAATTCTAGGCCAGATTGTAGGTCAGCCAGCTGTTGAGCAGCAAGCGCGACTGGAAGCTATTACAAAAGATGCCAAGGATCTGTCTGCATTAGTCAAAAGAAAGCCAGCTGGCATCCAACATCCGCCGCGAAGTGAATCTACGGAGAAACGCTCAGCTCCAGAGCAGGTTGAGGACGAGTTCAACACGAAGAAGGCACGGACGGAAAGCGCTGAGAATGTGTGATGAATTTGTCGCCCATCTTCGTTTTTCACCAGCCTTCCCTCGGTGTCGCCATACCCTGCTACGCTCCGGCTGGACGATAGGTTATAACTCGTTGCTCGATTGCCAGTTTGTGATTCTCGTCTCACTATGAAGCTATTTCTTTCCTTTAACTTTTCTTTTCTTTTCTTTCTTTTTCTCTTTTATTTGACTTCCGCCTGATACCCAACCCATGTCATGGAGCGGCTTGATAAGCGGCTAATCTGACATATGCGCTTGGTCCAACGCTTCTAGACAGCTAATACAACCGTCGCTATTGTCATTATGATTCCAGCATACCGCTGGAAAGAAGCTGGCGTGAAATGAGAGGGATTAAATAAAAGTATGGTTGTGAACATCATGCCAAGTCACGAAAGACTTGCGGGTCTCAATATGCTCTTCAAGACGGGAACCGAAACAACGGGAGATGGTGATCCAATTTCCGACTCCTTCGGCGCATAGCCAAACTCGGACTCCATATCCCAGCAAATATGTCTTCACACTCATCCTCATCCTGGCTGTCAAACTCGATGTGCTCATCACGGTTCATGTTTTCCGAGGGCCCAGGGCTCAGGTGGCCAGGCGATACAGGCTGATTAGTATTGCACGGTGACTCCCATGATGACGACATAGCTATTCGTTTTGTTTCCAAGATAAACTTTCCGACCTTATATCGCTGGGACTCTTCCTCGGCGGAGACATACTTCCAGCCGAGCACACTACCGCAGAATGCACAACTGATGTCGCAGACCGTATGAAGTCCGGTGACATATTGGCGTGGAACTGGTCTCTGCATCACAGTGTTGGGCAGCGATTCAGCCTGCGAAATCGACCCGCTCATAGAAACAGCACTGGCGGTAGGCTCTGCAGAGACGAGGTATGCGCGGCCATGACGACCAGTAAACCCTTTGCTGATGATTTGGGCCTTGAGGCATAACTCGGCTCCACATTTTGAACAGCGGAGACATGACACATGCCGAGTAAGATATCTATTGTTTCCATTACCATGAGTATCTGCTTTCATTGTTGAAGGCAGGTGGTTGGCATTGTGGCGCCTTGGATGGAAGATTATAGACGGTAATAAGAATTTAGGAAACATGGGGGTAGGAGCTTGGTGTTATTTTGTCGAGAGATTATACGCGGTGCGAGCTCAGGTAGATGATTGATTAAATGCTCCATGCAGACCAGACCAAGTTTGACTTTGCAACGGGTCACACTGAGGTCATAGACTGACCCAGCATCCAAACGACTTAAGTGCCGGGGATGGAAACGCATAATTCTGGTCATTAACTTAACATACAGAAATGAAGACAGTGTTACTGCCGAATCGGTGTCATTTGATAAGATACTCCAGGACCATAGAGTAGTAATGAGGTAAACTCAATGCAACACCTATAACTACACTAAGGTACCCTACCTAATTACATAGTAGTAACAAGGGCGTATCACAACTTCTGATCTGCTATTAGTATTACGAATTTAGGACTGCGCTTTCCCTAATAGATTTAAAAGATTGCTTCGCCAAAGGACTCCGCAAAATATAGATGTTAAGTATAGAGCACCCTAATTAAGTCACAATATAATCATATCGAAGCAAAAGTCCCTAGTGAGTACTAATCTTCATAGAGCACAGATTTTGTAAAGGCATTACATTTAAAAAATGATCAGTTCCTCATTGGAAACGGTGACACCGAGGTAAGATGGTAAACTGAAAGACGCCGGAAGTTTTGTAAAAATGAGAGATCGTCAAATGACTTGACGTTGTCAGACCTCCGCACATAGGAAAAGCCATTTCGTGCTCAGGCAGTGCTCAACACACTGCTCAGAAATCCAAGGTTTCAATGTTGTCAGATTAAAACCACACCATCCCAGGTTTCTCACAATCTCGGAATCTGTTACCTCCTGCGAACGGGGAATGCACGCAACAATCTGGGAACACTCAAACATAGGCATGCCGGCTAGCTCGAACAGGGCGATCAACCTGGAAAAAGAGAGAATAGAAGTAAGTCCCGAAGTCGTAGAGACTCCGCTGCAACTCTCATGGGATGACAAGAACTTACCCAGCTTTGAGATTGTGGCCAAGCACACTGTCTTTGAAGAACAAGAATAATGTCCGCTCATCATTCATATCAGTCAAAAAACCTCGATAAATTGCATCGCCAACGTAGTCCCAAACTTCGACCCAGTTTCGAATTGGCCTTTTTGCACGCCCGGTCCAGTTCGGCCGGCTTTGGTACGCATCCATCCCAGGCGACTCTTGCTGCGCGAACTTCATCTCACCAATGAAAATTGCGCGCAATTTGTCGCAGAAGAGCCTCTCACACTCTTCCGGAATGGTATACGTTGCCTCCCCTTTGTATTCAGGCAATTGATTGCCCGTCCAGCTGCTCCCTACGGGCGAAGGGACGGGTAGCCAGCGGGGAGGACTTGAAGAAGGGGTTTTCGACCCTGAGGGGACCTCAGGGATACCACTGTGTTCCTATACAATAATGGCAGAGTCAGCGTACATCATGATGCGGGATATTGGATTTTAAGCGTGGGCGAATCTTACCGGTCCCCGTCGTGGTGCAGTAGTGGAAGCCGCTGACCATGGAAGTCAAAGCATCAACGCTGTAGCAGCTTGCGAGTACGCTAGGTTGGGAAGTAATGCCAAAGGACCGTTGAAGTTGGTTGGAGTTACTACTTTGATTATTGATGGATTTAGCCATAGCGATAGCTGTTCTGTGGACTAAATCTTGACGGTGGCAGAGAATTGGATAAGGATTTATTGGAAGTATATATTATCCAGGCAAAGTTGGAAGAGTAATTAATGATATGATAGTAGGTACTGGTGTCTGATTTGGGCAAATTGGGTTTCGGATAATGTCACTTTGCTGATTGAGTGCAACAGGGGGTAGGTTCGAGGTTTTGATGAGGAGAATGAATTCCGTAAGTCATACTTAGTCATACGAGGCTCCATCGGCAAAGAAGCTCCGCCAATCTTGGGCTGTCATACTAACTAGTTACATGAGTAGCATTAGTCACTAGGCGGCGAATTTATTACTCCGTCCTTAGTACTCCCGTGTCTAGCCCAGATACCTATCCCTACCTACCTTAACCAGTGGAGACCGGCCAGGTCATTACTACTTCCGAGTGTCGACTCGTCGGCCCTGGAATATTCTACCAATATGATAAAAAAAACTATAATTAGAGCAACCTAGCGATGAAAGTGACCATATTATAGAGAAACAAAGCTTGCCAAGGAACAAAAATGTTGCCAATGTTTCTGTAAAGGTAATTCTACACTTCTTCGCGGAGCAGCTACAGAGTTGGTCTTTATATCCCGTATCCTGCTGAATTCCGTAATAGTTTCGTGCTCAGGTGTCAAACATTGGCCCAGTACTAGCTATAACGTACTTGCGTATCACAACACTTCCAGGTTGCTTGGTCTTTGCTGGTGGTTTGAGTATAAAACAAACTTCTGTGGATCAAACGGTACAATCCTTATCAGAACATTATATCAAAGCCCGTAAAAGGGATTTTTCCATTCGCTGAAATTGAAGGGGCAGAAATGAGGGCTCGGGACTATCTACATTCTGGGGGTTGCCGGGAAAGAACCGACAGGAATAAGAAATGTGGAAGTGATAGCTGCGATGTACATGTATCCTACCACACTCTTATAACTCACGATAATCGCTTGGTCTTATTCTTCGGTGTCTTCCTTGGTGTCGCTGAGGATTGACAGGTTGTCGGAAATACGGGGAGTCTTCTTCCCTCGCGAATGGCGAGCTAAATGAAGTCCGTTGTTGATTTGAGAAGTGGCCAACGCCTGGTCCCTGCTGAAAACCCGCATTTGGGGGAATTGGCCCCGCCATCTGGCTCATGCCCATCATTTGCATCGAGGCATTTCCCATGTTGGAGTACATGTTTGCTTGACCGTAGCCATTCATTGCACCACTCTGTTGACTACCATAAAGGCCATCCTGAAGGGAATCGAATCCCAGATTATTCATTGGATTCCATGCTTGATTCAAATTATTCGGGAAACCATTTGTAGGAAGGCCCAAAGGATTCATAAACCCCATCCCTCCGCCCATGAACCCAGCCTCAGTGAATGGCATTGTAGGCATGCTTTGCGGATTCATGAAGCCAAACCCAAAAGGCATTGGCTGGTCGTGGGTGATGGATGAGACCTCATTCGAAGAATCCTGAGTTTGTAGGTTCGTCGACACGGTGCCCGCCTGAGCAATCGGATCAGCTTTTTGCTTCTTGTTCGACGGGCTCAAATTCGACCCTTCATGGTCGGTGCTCGGAAGATTTTCGTCCGCTGATCTTTTCTTCGTAGCCGAGTCCAGAGCGCCGTTGACTGACGGCAACGATGATGGCTCCTTCTCCCCAGCGACTGTTCTCTCTGAATCAGACCCTTTACTGTTGGATGAGTTATCATGCACTGTGAGATTCTTCTGCGTATCTTTTCTCGAGTCCGCTTTTTCATCCTCAAAGGCTTTGATTTTTGAAACAGCCTCATCATCCACCGAAAGATTGTCAAGCAAAACACCTTCTGTGGCGCAGCCAGGGCAAACAAAATCACTCTCAATCAATGCATTGGTAATACAATCATTGCAGTAAGTTCGGTGGCAGCATGGTGTCTTAGTGGGCTCTAGGAACATACGTTTATCAATAGGGCACTCCAAACCCCAGGACTGCAATTCTTTGCTGTACTCCGCTGCTGCCGCTTCTGCCGCCGCTGCTGAAGAAGCTTTGGCCTTCTCCTGGTACAACTCCCAAGCTGCTTTGTCTGGCTTCGCAATGACGAAATCACCATCAGCATTAACCATGACACCTGTATTTCGAAGATCTTCATTCGACCCATCGAGTGCCAACGATTCCGGCTTCTCAACCTTCGTTTGGAGCGAGCGTGGTATACCAGTAGATCGCTTCACTCGGTATTTGCCATCGAATTTTGGATCATTGTTAGTCGGACACGCTTGGATCCAATGGCCTAGACAAACATATCTGTTAAACCCTGTTTCCCAAATTCAACACTAGTCGTCTCTCACCTTTTTCCCGGCAGCGGTAGCAAAGATATCCAGGAGGCGGCGGGTGATCAGGAACATTGACCGCCTTTCCTCTCCCACGACCGAAGGGTACAGGTGTAGCACTATTGATGTCCATTAGCACTACATCCGCATGTAATAGGTATATGCATACTTTGCCATCTCCTGTTGTTGCTCTTTCCATTGGCTAGCTTGCAGGTTGAAAAGAGCATTAATCTTCTCCTCCTCTGTCTGCGCGTTATTGAGCTCTAAAACGCTGTTGCTCACTGTGTTGCTAGTATTTGATATAGCGCGGGTCGACATTGAAGCATCATTACGAGGCGCGCTGCGAGCGCTAACGGGCATTTTCCCAGATACATAACGAGCAGCGCCGCCTTTGCCAGGCCGAGAGGCAGGCAACCTCCGAGCGATAACAGAAGTGGAACGGGGAATGATTGTGGTATCATCATCATACTCTGCAAGAATAAGTCAGCGATGACCTTTTTTAATTTCCTTTCTCGGAGTTTTCTGGTTCTTCCTCGAAACACCAGCCGAAGAGAAGTAATGAGGACAGAACCGCAGAGCTTACCTTCGCCTGTATCCTCATTGTAAATAGACAATTCAAAATCCGACCCATCGCCCAATCTACTCTGATTGATAATTTCACGTTTCAATTCAAAAACAGAAATACCGGTCCCGTCGAAAGTTACCCTTGAAGGCTCTTTTTGAGACTTGAACTTGAAGTGAACAGAGGATGACATTGTATTGAATTGCGCGTCCAGCAAGTGAGTTTGTGAATGTAATTAGATCAAAAATAAAAGGGACGACACTTTTCTTCGAATTGAAGCATACAAGTGACAGGAAAAATCACGGAGAGAAAGGAAGTAACACTGAATTGGATGGCAGATCGCCAATAACAGACGGTGACTCTATTTTCCTCTCTTCAGGTAAGTCCAGAGATCACGAAGACGGGAAGTGGAATGGCAATGCTCGGAAACTGTACTTTCGAAAGATTTCCCTTCGGTCCAAACAGTAACAGTGCGAGTCACTGTATACAAATAAACTCGGACCTGTTGAGCATGAAAGTTGAGAGGCAGCCGAGATGCAGCGACGAACAGTGGGTCAGAGAATGCAAAGCTCTTGCCAATCCAAAGACCATAGGAAGGTCACAAATGTCCTGCTTGCCCACGAAACCTGACGTCTGAGCTATGCCCTGAGAAAAATGTCCGGCAACGAATGAATAATTGATCACGTCTGGAGATTGACTACTGACATGCAACCCTGAGATGATAGCAAAATGAGGGAACTGGAGTTGAACGAAGTGAAGAGCACTAGCTGTTAATCCAGGTGGCGTTCTTGGGTCTACTGGACAATCGCCAGTGTTCAAATAATGGAGGTAACAGAATAATATGAACAAGGTCCAAGTCAAATCAATAGCAAGCCGAGGAGAAGAGTGATCTATAGCGGCACTGAATTATGGTAAGAGAAGGTGAGTATTGTCCTTCAGCACGGACGGAGGGGAACTTGAGATGATTAGAGTCTCTCGTGGATGAAATTTGCTGTGATGAGTTGAGGCGTTCATTTGGTCATGTGACCTTGTTTTATAAGCAACCCTATTGTCACAGCATGTGACTCCCAGATCATGTGATGCATCCTTTCACCCTAGGCGTTCGCTGCCATGTGGATACGGTTGGATAAATAGAGATTTCCCATTTCTTGTAAGAATCCCATATCTGAAAATGAATATCAACGCAATGGGCATCATTGGTGTGATTTTGATGTAGAGTCATTCTATACAGTTAAAAACATACAAGCATTGACCCAAGCAAGTCGCTCTCCTCTGATGCGAACTCTATTAACTAAAACTTCATAATACTCCGTACTGCCTACAATGGGGTAACAAGGGCGAAAATGGGCTGCGGTCAAACTGTATACCATCACTCGTCGCTATCGAAGTTGCGGACTAGAAATCCCTCGTTCCGAAGGTGTTCCTTGACCTGACCAACAGTAAACTCACCACGATGGAACTGTGGCCTCGTTAGCTGAGAACTAATGGGACGATGAAGGCGGCTCATACCATTCCAGCACCTAATGCCGCATCGGTTGTTGTATATCGGAAGACATCTTCAAAATGCTTTGGAACACCAGCACCGCTTGAAGCAATGACAGGAATTTTGATAGCAGCCTTGACATCGTTGATCAACTCAAGGTCAAATCCACTGTTACTTCCATCCTTGTCGATACAGTTCAGTAGAATTTCGCCTGCACCCATGGCTTCAACAGCCTTCACTAGCTGTCGGACGTCAATATCACGACTCTCTCTGCCACCTTTGATTGTGCACTGATACCAGCAATAACTCTGGCCGCTAGCGTTCGGGTACTTCGTTTTGATCGTATGGTGTTCGGTGTCATCCGGGCTTGTGACATAAACTCGCTTGGGGTCAACGCTCACAACCACAGCTTGGTTTCCATAAGCTTTCGAAATTGTCTCGATGGCAGTTTTTCCGGTGAGCTTTTCGCCGCGACGATAGTACTCCTCAGCCGCAATGACCGCATCCGATCCAATGCTGACTTTATCGGCTCCAGACTTGAAATACATTGTAGCAACGTCCAGAGCAGAGATGTGAGTCCCGTCAGGATCGATAGTGTCCTTGATACCGCCTCCGATTGTCAGAGGAACAAAGACGGTCTCCGATGTTCTTCTCAAGATTTCCAACATTGGGGTATCTACGAGCGGGCAATTCCGAAAAGACGTGATATTGAGGAAGGTGACCTCGTCCGCCCCTTGCTCGTAATACCTCCTTGCCATGTCAACCGGCTTTCCCAGATTTCTTACCTGACCTCCTGCGTCCACGCCGACCTTCTCTCGCACATCGTATTGATCACCTTTCGTGACGACCAGATCACCAGCATCATTCGTACGGACATCAAGACAGGCGATGATCCTGCGGGTCAACCCGTCTTCCCTCTTTCTTGCCTCCAGACCCTCCGTTCCGATTGGCTGGAGTTTGTCACCATTCAAGAACGCACGGAGAGTCCGTAGTCCAGCTTGTCCGCTTTTCTCCGGATGAAATTGAGTTGCAAAGATATTTTCCCGAGCGATGGCGCCAATAAATTCTTCATCACCGTACGTGGCCGTAGCAACTGACCAGCCGTCGTTCTCTAATACACCGGCCTTGTAGAGAGCTGCGAAGGAATGAACGTAGTAATACTTGCTGTTCGGGTTCAGCCCATAGAAAGTTTGGCGCTCCGAGGTTGTATTCATAGCAGAGTTCCAGCCTATGTGAGGCACGCTCTTCGTGTCAGCGTTGAATTTCTGCATTCGTTGTGGGATCAGTCCCAATCCGGGGGTGTCGGAATCTTCTTCAGAGCCCTCGAAAAGCGCCTGCAGACCAACACATATGCCCATGAAGGGCTTTCCCAGCTCTATATGCTGTCTGATCGGTTCCAGGAAGCCACCTTCGGAAAGCTGAGAGAGACAATGGCCGAAATGGCCAACACCGGGCACCATGAGTCTCTACGATGATATATGTCAGCTGTGAATCGTGCAGTAGCAGAAACAAGACTAGCAACAGAGAAGAGTGCGCACATCGGCATTTTTAATATCGGCCGGAGACTTGATCCATTCAACGTCGAACCCAACTTTGTTGATCGCATTCACCAACGAGCGGACATTTCCTGCGACATAATCGAGCAGGTGAACAGTCGGCATGGCGGCAGTCCGGTACCTCAAGCCGTAAGACAAGGTGCTGTACGTATTGCAATACTAAAGTCGTATAGAGACTGAATCACAGAGTTTGTCTGGCTTCGGTAAGCTCGCAGACATTCGGGGACGGAGAGAATGAATGAAAGTGGCTTGGGAAGAAGAATAATCACCCTCATTTGTTGTCAAACATCACTCCCCACCACGGCGGGGACATTTAGCTGAGTCATTGTTCAAAATGATAACGTAATCGGTAAGCGAGCGGATCACTATACCATAGAATTTGGCCGCGGCCGAAATTGGAGGCTATTTTGAACCCCTAAAACATGATTATATTGCTAAATCTAGTTATTCTTGCGCTGCGGACATTGCAATCGCCTATGGCCTAGAATATGGCAGTCACTGCAGCGTGGGGGTGCCCGTCGAGGGCGTTGTTCTGTATCTACTACCTGCTCTGGATGGATAGTTGGGATAGCTTCAGCAGCCTGATCCCTGCGTTGAATGATCTCCTGCCCTTCCTGGATAGATAATCCCTCTGCAGTTTCTATCTGCCGCCTAGATTGCTTCTTCTTTTGAAGCTGCTTTTCATGTGCAGCATGTAGATCATGATTTTCCTTTGTAAGAAGGACAGCGTTATTCATTGCCATCTCACACCCCTTGATGATCTGACCTAGCACAGCCTTACTAGGGGTAGGAGGGCTGTATGTACGCTCCCTAAGTAGCTTCTTAAGCGTAGTTTCCTGCTTCTTCAGCTGCTTGAGATTGTAAGGTGTTTTTGGGACAGAATTAGTTGATCGGCTGCCTGGTGGTGTAGGGGTTCTAAGCTGGATATTAAGCTGACTGAGCACCCGATCTGGATTTAGTGGTATTAATCCAGTTGCTGAAAAGCCACTCTTAATATTATCTGCTGAAAAGATTGCCGTACGAGCTTGTGGATAGGCCTCAAGGAAATCAAACTTGTCAATATGGTTGAAACCAAGCCGCATCTTATCCTTAATTAAGCGGCCATATGCACGCTTAAGAGGAGAGAAACAGCCAACATCTAGAGGCTGGAGGAGATGTGATGAATGTGCAGGCATGCAGATTGGAATGATATCATTCTCAGTGCAGATTTGATCAAACTGTGGTGTTAGATGGCTCCCATGGCCATCAAGAATTAATAGTCGATATCTACCAGTTGTACGACTGGTAGTAGTAGGAATAAAGACTTTTTGAAGCCATTGTAATCCAATCTGATCAGTTGTCCATCCATTCGCACTCACCTCAATCCGCCAGTCTGCTGGTAAGGCTGTATCTTGATACCATCCCTCAATATGGACCTTTCCCTTGAAGATAATGCATGGTGGAAGCACCCAGCCAGTAGAGTTAATACACTCTATAGAGGTAACCCATTCGCGGTTCCCTGGCTGGATAAGGAAGGGCCGACTAAGCATCTCAGCTCTTGTAACTACCTTAGCAGTAGCTACTAAGCCTATTGCAAAGCCAGTTTCATCAAAGTTGTAGATATCTTCCAGTGTAATCCCATGCTGCATTATTGTGATCTGGACATGATTGAACCATTCCAGGATAATCTTTGGGTCTTCGCATTTAGCACGCTGGTGGTTATAGCGCCTAGAGAATCGGGTTTTGATCTCATCATGCCGATTAATGAAGTTATATACCTATTTCTCTCCAACAGTCTGGGTAGGAGTTGAACCACGCTGCGCAAGCAGGATATTTGCCATTTCTTGTACATGGGACGGTCGGGGAGCCGCTCCACGTTGATCCATAGATAGAATCCATCTAATAAGCGATTCCTCTTCATTCTGTGTCATTTTATGGCCACTTGCGCGTAATTCAGCTCGAAAAGTATGCCCCTTTAGGCGCCGCTGGAGGGTAGTATAAGGCACATCATAGACACGCGCAGCTTCACAAATATTGAGGATTTCCTTCTTTTTCAAAGCTGATACTGCAAGTAGGACCCTTCCCTCCTGCTCAACTGAATTTTTTGAGTTTATACGCGCTTTTGGTGGCATAGTGGCTGGCTGAATACTGCAGCTTTTGAAATAGAAGTCAAAACGCGTTTGGTGATCCGCTCGGTTGCATGATCCGCTCGGTTGCATGATCCGCTCGCTTACCGATTACGTTAACCTATTTTTTTTGGCTCTTTTTTTCCCCTTCCGCCATCAATATTCCAGACAGCTGACCGCCTTAGAATCCACTTTCTCACTAGTACTACTACTTCGGGTTCGCATAGTCTGAAGCTCGCCGACAATTTGCATTCTATTGGGTTATTGTACAAGAGTACATTCTATCCAAAAGTGATCTTACCCTGCTGGTTGGGCCCTGCGACCCATGGAACCCACTAAGATGTGAATGGGATAATAAACCTGTCTTGACCAATGGAACCCAATGCTCCCCTTTATTTGTTATTTTAAAATCTATATCCCTTTATTGCAATGGTTCATGCAAAACAATCTCGAAATGCCGAGTAAGACGGTCCGTAGATATCGCTTGGTCGAAGTAGACGCTATGCCATGAACAAGCGCTTTATGAGACATCATTCCCACCGGAAGGACTGATGAACAAGGGCAAATCCGAAGCAATGTTCTGAGAATTTTGGAGATAGATGAGGCCGTTTCGAGGCTATATTTGTGTAAGCCCATTTTGTCGAGTCCGGAAGAGACCGTGTAGCTTACCGGGGAAAACTGTCTCAGACATACTCCAGCAGCTTCCAAGATTGCAGCACTCTGCCTCCTGTTAGCTGCGTTTACTAACGTGTGGTGATTCAGACAAACTTCTTGGTCCATGTTGTATCCTTGGGAATACACGACTTCCGATATACCGACCTGGGCGATCTTGACTGTACACGTCAAGCAAGGGCATCTACGGGTCATCAACATCTGGAAAGCAACGAGCAGGGGCTGGGGAATCTGACGTATCGCAATAGAGTATTGAGCCTTCACGTATACGCTCTCGGCCTGCTTCCAACAAAGCGTTCTCTTCAGCATGAAGGCAAAGACATGTCGATAGGCCAACACCTCCTCCTTCTCCACGGTTGCATCGCGGGCCTGGTCGATGTGAGTCTCTCTTAGAAAAGCACGAGAAGATCAAAGGAAAGCTGCAAGCCTTCGGGAGATTTCATACATCCACCTTCATTGCAGTTGGTAAGATGCCGAGGAGTCCCGTTGTATCCGGTGCTAATTACACGGCGCTCCCTAACGAGCACACAGCCCACTCTTCTCTTCATGCAATTGCTTCTCTGCGCAGCGAGTGAAGCTAGTTGCATGAAATACAGGTCCCAATTTGGACGTAGACGTTGCTCATCGGCGAGATTCAGGGCTTCAAGAGCAGCATGCAGTTCCTCCAAAGAAGAGCATGAGTTGAACAATCGCACTTGCGCACGATCTGTCAGATAGGCACGTCCAATTTCTTTATCGTAAAGGTGCCGATCATTCCATATAACAAATCTTTCAAGCGGAGGAGGATCAAGCTGTCTCCTTCGGCACCTAGAAATGGAGTAAAAACATTATATTTCCATACAGCATATGTTGTTGAGGGCATAGGGTCTTGGCAAGGAAATTACCTATCTGTGAACCGCTTCCACCGAAGACTAACTGGCGCATCAACGCTCACTAGGAGGAAAAATGGTCGTTGAAGAAAACGCTCTATGGTCGCAGTATCCCAGATATCTGTTGTGACCCAGCGCTCCCTCCATCTTTTCGTTGCAAAGTCTAGGAGGGATTCGACGCTGTCGAATGTGAATTCCGAATTCCTCTTGTTGCTGAGTTCCGAAGCTTGTAACCGAAGATCGTCTTCTGGGTCATCGGTTATCCGAGGGTAGTGTTTGTTGTTCAGCTCAAGGAGTTGGAACTCTTGATGTTCAATGAGGTAATCTGCGATGGCGTGCTTGCCTGAGCATATTCCTTTCCCCTCCAGTGTCATCAGTCCATCATTCTGTGGATTATTTTCGTCATGAAGGGTTCATACTAACCTCCACACAAGCCAATCAGCATTTCTTGGCCCTGAGAGGAAGATGCAAAGGATGCCTGGTGAGATGTGTGTGAAGTGACAGATCCTTTCAATCAGTACGATAATGATCTGTTTTCTTCTATTAACCCATTACAAGCTGATGTGGACACCAGTGGGCTATCCAGTTGATTTTTCGAACACAATCTCGTCTTGAGGTAACCAGAGGTACGTAGAACCTGCAGATAATAATAACCGAGAAGATCCGAATTATAAGCAACAGCTTAGCCGCGTAGGATGTACTAAGTGGGGTAGGGAGAACTTAGTGTTATGAATGTATTCTTATCAACCAATCCCACATCGTGTAGCCTCTCGCTATTATTATATATATTAACATCTAAGAGTCCAGTTAGAGGGAAGCTAATAGTAACAGTGGATAGTAACAGAAATCAGAAATACTTTAGTATTAATACATAGATGCCAAAGATACCGAGGAAGCAAGAGCCTGAGAGTATGTAGATACACCAACTAGATAGTAGATAACTTATTTCGCTGCGTGGGACACCAAAACAACGATTAATAAGCTGGCGAATTCCCAAACAAGAACGCACGGAGACTACCCGTAATGGACGAAGTGACGGATTGTGGATAAGGTTTGCCCATGACCATTATTATTTCTGACCTAGTCAGCTGTTCAGAAATGATGAATGACGGGAAAGAGAAAAAGTCACGTTGCTCTACGCAGCACTTCAGATCTGTATGTATGGGGGTGTATCTACCTCTCGTATTATGCTATAAATCCGGGAAGTTGGGCTTGTCCGCCTTATCAGCCCCGCTGTCATTTATTACTACTACTTTTCTAGTACTAGTACCCCTCTACTTCCTACCTTATCATTACCACTGTCTGATACAGTTGCACTTGAACAGTTTAACGCTCGTCATCATAATCAGAGCCCTTAATAGCAGAAGCAGATCCAGATATACCTGCGGCTCACTCATTAAAATTATTGAGATAGGGCTCAAGGTCCTAGAACATCCACACGACATTATAACCGAACAAAATGCAGTACGCTCCATTTGCCTCGGACATTGAGCTCCCATTCTACACAGCTCTAGCTACATTGAAGATAGACCGTGACAAACTCGATGACTCTGCTCGCAAAGTATTAGGCCTGTACGAACTGCGCTCTACGGACGCACCGAATAATTCTTGTCGGATGCAGATACATGGAAATGCCCTCACCAGCGACGAGTGAGTCCATAGTCTGAGCTCAACTCCTACTTCCTTTTACAATTATTTCGGCGATATGTAGGGTCCAGAGGGTATAATTGCTAATTGGCCGTGGATTACACCAGTGTACCGGAAGGTTATTACAGAGCTGAAGGGACGATCAAAAATTTTAATACTTTTGAAGAATACCGCGACATCGATAAGCCTCAGATGTTGCAACAAGCCGGGCAAACGGTCAGCTTCACGGTGCAAAAGGTCAATGAAGTTTACTAATATATTCCGGAAAGATACGGGATGCCATAGAGGACGGCAGCATCTACCTGTGTCCGTCAAAATTATCTTCCTTCATGATACTGTCTTTCGCAGATCTCAAGAAGTATAAGTTCCACTACTGGTTCGCGTTTCCTGCACTTCATTCAACCCCTTCCTGGACTCCTGTACCATATTCTGGGGAGATTGTCGGTGATACTCCGGTTGAACCAATTAATAGGGCACCATTCAAGGCCTTATCCACTCTTGAAAGTTCGACTCTTGTGGAAGCAGTGCAGACCTGGTCTCGCAGCGTCGAAGCTTGTCAGCGAGGCTTTTTCCTCGCAAGGAAGTATTTCAAGCTTGATGGCAGACCTGGGCATGATGCCAAGGGAATGCCCGAAACAGCAGATGGGACATTGGTGGCGAGTTCACAGCAGAGCGCCGGACACAACTGGAAGATTGCTTCTCTAGCAAGTTATGAGAGCGGGTTTTTCGATGGGGCGCCATTCGAGGATAGCTTCATTTGTTTTGCCGATCCCTCGAACTACGACGATGCGCCGGGTTGGATGCTGAGGAATCTACTATTTCTCATCAAGCAACGTTGGGGGCTACGAAGAGCCCAGATTTTGAGGTATCGCGATACACGTCGCGAGAATGGTCGCAGCATGGTAGTCACAATGGAATGCAAAGCTCAGCCGGTGTCACACCCGGGGAGTTCTCCTGAAACAGTGAGCGGTGCGCCCAAAGTAACTGGCTGGGAACGGAATTCAGCGGGAAAGCTGTCAGGGAGATTAGTGGACCTCACAGAGTATATGAATCCTAAGAGGTGAGCAGGTTACGGGATGCATTACTCAAAGTATTTGTGTGCGTCTAACTCGCGGCGCAATGGCTAGGCTGGCGGATCAGTCCGTTGATCTTAATCTGAAACTCATGAAATGGAGGATCAGCCCGGATCTCGATCTTGAGAAGATCAAACGCACCAGATGCCTCTTACTTGGAGCTGGGACGTTAGGAAGCTATGTTGCTCGAAATTTAATGGTACGTCTTCCCATATTCCTATTGAACAGACATTCACCGAGCTGCTGGCCTCTAGGCTTGGGGAGTTACGAAGATAACATTCGTGGATAACGGAAACGTATCTTTTTCAAATCCGGTGAGGCAGCCACTTTTCAACTTTAAAGACTGCCTAGAAGGTGGCGCTAGAAAGGCAATTCGAGCTGCGCAAGCCCTGTCGGAAATCTACCCTGGTGTTGAGACTACCGGGCATGTTCTTTCGGTGCCAATGGCTGGCCATCCTATCACGGACATGGAGAAGACACGAAAAGAGTTCGGTATTCTCAAGGCTCTAGTAGATGACCACGACGTTATTTTCCTTCTTATGGACACGAGAGAATCGCGCTGGCTCCCAACAGTCATTGGTAAGGCTGCGGGGAAGATTGTGATGAATGCAGCGCTTGGATTCGATTCTTTTGTGGTCATGCGACATGGCGTCAGAAACGATGCAGACCCAACATCAGAACTTGGCTGCTACTTTTGCAATGACGTAGTTGCGCCGATGAATGTAAGCCACCATTCCCAAGTGTCGTGTCTCTATGCGACTGACTTTTTTAAGTCTGTAAGAGATCAGACACTTGATCAACAATGCACCGTCACTCGACCAGGTGTAGCCACAATAGCGTCAGCCTTGGCGGTTGAGCTGCTCATTTCACTTCTGCAGCACCCTCAAGGCGCTGCGGCCCCAGCTGCTTTGCCAACCGATGACCGCAGTTCTCACCCTCTTGGTCTGGTGCCACATCAAATCAGGGGATTTCTTTCGTCCTTCGAAAACATTTCGGTTATAGGAAGAAGCTATGACTGTTGTAGTGCCTGCTCAACAAATGTCGTTAACGCATACAATGAGCAGGGCTGGGAATTTGTGGTAAAAGCTTTGAACGAGCCCGGATATGTGGAGGAGTTGAGTGGTCTTAGGGAGGTCAGTCACAACAAGCCTCTTTTAACCTACCCTCTATTCCTCGTCTTTCGCTTCCCCCGTCCGCGCAAATCACCCAACCCCGACCGGAAATCTCTGGTACTGGCCATAAACAAGGCAATTTCTGTTGATATGGACGGCTGACACAACAGAAGGTCCAAGCAAGAGCAGAAGAAACGATAGATGACATTGAGTGGGACGAGTCGCTTGAGAACGAAGAGGAAATCATCTGAGAATTCGGTGATCCGATACCAGGTGCGCACGACAGGGCAGTAGAATGAGATGAGAGCTACATCTGGTTGGTGGGTTCTGATTTAGGAATGCATGAGGACCTCATTCTTCAACGCGTTATTCCTTCTGTCGAGGCCAACAAAGTACGCTTCCCTTGATTCCTGCGCAAGTCAGTGCGTGATGACGGTAACAATACTCGATATGTCCGGCACGTACATTGCGTGAAGACTCTGGCTTGATCCTGTGCACTCTATAGAAGAGTGCTTTGAACTGTCTCTCTAGTTCTTTGTCCTCGACTCCTTGATAAAATTTGCAAATGAAATGACCTCCAGTCCGTAAGGTGTCAAAGCTGAATTGCAACGCGGCACGGCAGAGGTCCTATCAGGTCAGTCAAAATGTACGATAGTATGACATTTGATTGAAGTACCATGCTGCCGGCGTGATCTCGGAAATTCACGCCGCTTGTGTTCATCATCCTATTATAAGGGTCACTTAGACTTCGCTTCCAGAAGCCGGTGGTTTGGAACCAGGGAGCACACATATCGCTTAAAACCACATCTACCGTTCTCTCCGACACAGCATCACTTTGTCCGATGCACTCGCTATTATGCTCCAGGCTCGCGGTCGAACTGAAGGTCGTATTATTGTGTTCGTCTCCGTCCCACGGACTAGGGGAGCGCGGTCTGCCTCTACAAGGATCGCGGAGGAACTCCCGAACGTAGGCCTGAATATCTGGGGTAAGGAAGTTGCCCTGTATGGTAGAGACGCCTTTGGGGGGCTGAGCTGGGATTATGTCTACGCCCAGGACTCGACCGTTCGGTTGAGTTCGAGTCGCTGCCACCTGACAGAGTTAGATGTCTATTAAAACTGCCGCGAGATCAAACAAACCTGAGACCAGGAGCCGGGGGCGTATCCCTGATGAAAATAACAGAGGTCAGCCTGGATGCCCAGACTTGAAAACGACAGGGGCGGTATACCAGATCCACTACTGTTTGCCCACTCTTGAAAATGTGATATTTCTCATCGATCTAAAATTATCTGTGTTTAGCATACAATGAACAGTAAGGCTCAAGTAATACATACCTGCAATAATTTGAATGCTGCACGGCTCTTCAAGCCTTGTACTGCCGCAGCCCTTGTAAAGTGGTCTTTGATCTGACGTGCTTGCCATCTCTTCGAGGATGAATGTCTCTTGAATAAGAGGGAGGACGTTATATCACTGATCTCGAATCTTATAGTCTTGGTTGGGCAGGACGAAAAGAACATGGTGCTGGGATCTTTCTTTGTGAGGTAGATACCCAGTTTGATTGGTGTCTGCGGGAAATCTTGGATGGTGGGATCTCGTCAATGTAATATTGGATTGGGCCGTCCTTGATAATCAGGTGTGATACAATAGATACTGCAAATCTAACCCTATCCGATGATGGAGATGACGCGAAAAGGAAAAGAACAAGTACCAGCAGATAAACTCTGTAGATACTATACCTCTAGTAGACAGCCCTTTAGAAGTTGTATTCAAACAGTGTAGGACACTAAGATACTGATGTCATGTGAAATCTTGGATAAGAGTGGAGAGCTATTGAGTAGTCCATCAACGACAATAATAGTAATAATGATAGCTCTCGTCTCTATCAGAGGGTTTTAATAGCTGAACTTAGAGTGTAGGTAGGTATCGCCCCACCCCATCTCCTTTCATTAAAACATGCTGTTCCCTCTCCAAATCAAGTGTTAATTAATTGACGCCAAACAGCTGCAACATTGGAGCTAAGGTACTCCGTACGCATTGTAGATAGATTGGGACGCTTCTTACAATATGTAAGGGCTATACTCCGTACTCCCCTAGATATAGCTCAACTAAGTTCCATGCCTTTCATGCCCTAAGACATTCATGTAGTCAACCCCATGCACCCTCTGTAACACAGCGACTAGTTCAATTATTGTTCCTCGTATCAATCTAGAATTTACATTGTGGTTTGATACACAGGTGGCGGGCTCTTTACTTTCAATGAATAGATGACATTCTGCAGATCACGCAGTTCATTATATATTAATAAGAGCCATCGGTCAAACTCTCGGGTCACTGCACTTCAGCGTCTTATGCAAGTATTGAGCCAGGTACCGGAATCTCCCCACGTGAAAGAATCCACAATCATGAAAGAGGAATGCGGATGAACAATGAAGTACAGCACTACTAAAATCAAGGACTGCCGCTACGGATAAACATTATATTCCCTCAAGGTTTTCCACTGCCTACATTCTCTTTCTGTCTCGCTTTAACGGGGAGAATCCCGTAGGGGCACCAAAGCCTCGGCCGTGCACTATACTGGATCGGGCTGTTAACTGTATATCGTCTCGGGAAGTTCGTCCAGGACCAGAAGCAAGTTTACGCGCTGGCTTTCTGATGTCCTGGTTGTCCGGGTCTTCTTCATCCTCAAACAAGTTCCTATCTCGCTGGAACCCCAATTTACGCCTCTTCAATTTCATCTGACCATGACTAGAGGCCCTGTTCTTCGGAACATCGTCACCTTCTGCATGGTTTTCGACATCAGTCTGTGGGGAGCGTGACCTGGACGATATTGCTCTGGCCATTTTGGACTTGGTACCAATATGGTAAGATAGTTCCGACCGCTCTTTAGACGGTGCCTCCCTGGAAAACAGCTCGTCTTCTTGCTGTGGACTGCTGATAGTTGCATTCTCGGCGAAACCTATATTACCACTGGAAACTTTCCCAGGTGTTCCCGCGCACACAGTGACCGTGTGTAGCTCATTTAAATCGTCATCGGAACTAACTGAAGGATTCTGAGGTTCACTCGCGCGTTTCAGAAATGGGGTAATCGAGAAAGACGATTTATCGCCAGGCAATGCTGTTGGTTGCTTGATGCCTTTATTCCAGGACTTGATCGCCCCTGGTGTTGCAATGGTCAGTGCGGGAACAAATTGGGTGCCCATTGTTCGATTAGCAGGAGCACGAGATTTCGCATGGGGCTGAGGACTTCCAGTTGCTTTGAGTTTATTACGCTGCTGTTGACCATTACTCTGAGCTTCTTGGAGTTGATCTTTGACTTGCCGCAATTTTCGATTGAGATCTTCGATCCTCTCTTCGAGAGCAGCGCGCTGAGCTTCGCTTTCATGTTTTTGCTGACGAGCACTGCGCTCTTGTCGTTCCCGAGCTTGTATTTGCTCTGCAAGTTCCTTACGTGCTTCCTCAAGTCTCGACGACAAATTGGCAATTTCTCCTGCCTGACGAGTCTCTCGGGACTGAGCACGTTCGTGAGCGCGCTTTTCGTTCTCCAATTGCTCTTCGACCGTAATCAGCTGGCGTCTCAATGCCTGTTTTTCGGCGACGGTATTCTGGGAAGAGATGCTTTGTACCCTAAACCGCTCCGCTTCTAATTGCAAGTTGGAAAGTTCTTTCGATAGGCGAATATTCTCGTCTACCATCCTCTTAGATTCAACAGCAGTCTTGCCCAGAGAAGCAAGTTCGCCCTATCGTAAAAGTCAGAGTGATGTTCCAACAGGCCAAGGTATAACGTGCAACGTACACGAAGATTCTCTATTTCATGTGACGAGGCAGCGAGTATATTCTTTAAGCGATTCGCTTCATTGAGGGTCTTATTGAATTGAACGCGTAGGCACGATTCAGATTCTCTAGCTCTGACTAATTCCCCGCTGGTCTCCTCTAGCTGCAAGTGCAGGCTGTCATTTTCGAACTGGAGAAGTAATTGCTGCATACGTATTTCCCGAGCTCGCTCGATTTCTAGAACAAGCGTTGTCCGGCCCACTGCACGTTCATATTCTTGCTCATAGTGTGCTGTGGTAAGTGCCATTCGGCACTGAGGAACTGGGTAAGTTTTAACTTGCATCTCGTGGTCGTAAAGCATACATACATCATCGAAACCCGGTGCTGACATTTGGACGAGAGAATTCGGTGTCGGCTTGCAAGGGAGATCAGCAACAACTAAGTATAGCGAAAATTGAGTCGTCAAGACTGTACTATTGTGGCATGAAGTCTAGTTTGCCTGGGGTCCGTGGTGATGTCTGAAAAAGCAGTCTGTGACGATTTCAACAGGTACCTATGTATTTTCAAGGTAGGAGGGGGGGGTAGCCAACGTAAGGTACCGACCGTACCTCCGCTATTATTGTTTGGGGCAGCGGCCGACACGCGTCTTTCAACTTTCAAATATCAACGGAAAAATAGCTCGGCAGCTCCCGAAGTTGTGGACACCTGGACTCTCTCGGTTGCACTAAAGCGATTATTGCGTAGTTATTGAGTGCCACCATGCATCTACTCTGTCCGGAATACCTCCTACACAGACATCAGATAATGACCACTGATCCTTGCGGATCGTTCATTCACTGTGTTTTCCAGTGTTTCTTCACATTCGAGCTCAACAAAGCATCTTAAATGAGTCATTCTTCCAGACACTGGAGAAAATGAAACTCAACTTTCTTATCTCTTTCCTCTGCATTGCGACGAGCGCGCTTTGCACATCCTCAGACCCTAATAAGTACGAGAAATACAAATCAGTATCTCGTCTCGCGCCGATTGGATTGACGGATGTTACATATCATGATTTGACCTCAAAGCCTCGCGACTTCCACGTCGCGGTTCTTCTAACAGCTACTGACGCTCGCTATGGTTGCGTCCTATGTCGCGAGTTCCAATCCGAGTGGGACCTCATTGCACGAAGTTGGAATAAGGGCTCCAAGTCAGACGATTTTAAGCTGCTCCTCGCTACGCTGGATTTCAGTAATGGCAAGGAGACCTTCCAGAAGGTATAAGAATAATCATTCTTCCTGAACCCTCTTGATGTATTGTTCATCTAATCTAATGAGGAAAAAGCTGATGCTCCAAACTGCGCCTGTCCTTCTCTTGTTTCCTCCCACTGTCGGCCCCTTTGCCAAGGTTGACGATGCACCCGTAAGATTCGACTTCACTGGGTAAGAGTCTCTTGGATCTGCCACACGAGTTCTCCGTGTTGATGAAAGACGTCTAGCCCAATATCTGCCGACCAACTCTACACATGGATCAGCCGACATCTTCCGGAAGGCTCAAAACCACCTCTCATCCGCCCAATCAATTACATGCGAATTATCTCTGCAATCACTATCCTTATGGGTGTGATAACTTTGTTCACGGTTTTGTCTCCGTACGCCTTGCCGGTCATAAGAAACCGAAATCTGTGGGCCGGCTTTAGCCTGATTGCTATCTTGCTGTTCACCAGTGGCCACATGTTCAATCATATCCGCAAAGTACCTTACGTTGTAGGTGACGGCAAGGGAGGCATTAGCTATTTTGCTGGTGGATTCTCTAACCAGTTCGGCATGGAAACGCAGATTGTCGCTGCCATTTGTAAGTCGTTCACGTTCCGGAGACACGACCATGTCCACACACATACTGATGATTCACTGTGATGCAGACGCTGTACTTTCCTTTGCAGCGATTGCTCTTTCCATGAAGGTCCCTCGCATGGGGGACAAGAAGGCACAGCAACTGGCCGTCGTAATCTGGGCAGGCGTACTGCTCTGTATGTACAGCTTCCTCCTCAACATCTTCAAGACGAAGAATGGCGGATATCCTTTCTACCTCCCTCCTTTTTAATTTTCAGACATCACCAGGGTTTAATCCTAGTCCTTCGACCCGTTGGTGCGATATCCTTGAAGCAAAAGAGCCCGATCTAGGTGCAGCAACTCACCTGTTGAAACTTCTTCCGCGGATGGATTTGCGATCTCGACTTTCACCTTCATGGTGTTTCCGGGTCTTGGACGCCTTTATACTCTACATCAGTCTGCACTGCGATTAGGCGAAGGAGCTCTTGGTTTTTCCCCTCATTCCTCACAAGCCTCAGCGACCTTAGCCTTCACAATTAGGGTACTACTGTAATGCAGAAGAGTCCGCTTTTTTTCACAAATAGAGAAAGACTATTCAATGGATAGATGACGTTATCGTCTGCAAAATGAATACTAGAGCGCAGGAAACCAAAACATCTTACATCGACGCAGTCAAAAAATATATTCAGCAAGTGCATGGACAGATACACTAGGAGCCCTTTCATCTTCATTTCAGGCGGGTGAATCTTGGTAAAGATAAAATGTGCAGGTCAGAGGGTTTGCCTCCTTGATCTCCACAGGCTCCTCTACATATGCGGACCCAGTGTGGTTCACCCTACTGCGGCGGCGGCTGCGGCTAGGTAGTGGACAACATCACAACAGACTCTACCTCGGTCCTGCTCAGCACCGCGTGCCTAAAGAAGTAAGTCATTTCTGAAGACAAAAGACTGCAGCTTTTGTCTTAAGTCATACTCGTCTAGATCAGCATTGTGTTTCGACCTTCGTTATCCACGCAATAAGTCCCAGCTCGATAACACTTGCGGATTAGAAAAGTTCATATGAGACGTGCAGAGAGCATGCCACTATGTCCAAGCAAGACAGATTTCGCACTAGAAGGGCTTTGGCATCATCGGTGTCGGGGACTACGCTTTTGGTCATGATCCAGTTGGTTTCGCGGCTGTTCACCTTTGTTGCCAATCAACTGGTCCTGAGGAACCTATCACCAGCGACTCTGGGAGCAGCAACTCAACTCGAGTTGTTCATGGTTACGATCTTATACTTCTCTCGGGAGGCCATCAGATTAGCCATTCAGAGACAGCCTCTTGATTCGCCTTCATTCCCCGACATCAGCAAACAAGAGAAGCCGCGCATGGCTTGCGACAAGGAAATGGAAGCTCAATCTATGGCGACTCAATCAATAGTGAACATGTCCTACCTCAGCCTTGGAATTGGGATCGCGCTTTCTATCTTGCTCGGTACTTCCTACATACAGTTTGCTGCTGAGCAGGTTGCTCAAACATCTTTCTATCGCGGCAGTGTGGCAATCGTCTGTCTTGCGTCGACCTTAGAGCTATGCACTGAACCTTTCTTTGCTGTAGTCCACAGATATATGCTGTACAAGACTAGGGCAACCGTTGAAATGGCCGCGGCATTCGTAAAAAGTCTAACAACGTGTGGTCTATTTATCTGGGCGTCCTGGAATGGAAACAATGTTGGTATACTTCCATTTGCACTTGGTCATCTCTCTTATGCCTTGGTGCTTCTCTGCGGCTACTCTGCAGCTCTGTCAAACGCAGCGAGTAGATGGCATTTTTCGTTTCTGCTCAGCCGCATAAGGTCAAGGTATGTGGAGGTCATTCCTATCGAATACGACTCAGCCATGATAACAGATCCAAGTGATAAGTCCGTTTATGTCCTGGGCATGTTTTCCTCGCAGTTGATCTCTCTATCTGCAAATCTCTTCTTTCAATCCGTGGTCAAGCATTTACTCACGCAAGGGGACGCCATGATGCTCGCCGCAATGTCGAGCTTGGAGGATCAGGGGATATATTTCCTCGCTTCTAACTATGGTGGTCTTATAGCTCGCGTCCTTTTTCAGCCAATTGAAGAGAGCTCTCGCACCCTCTTTTCGTCGCTGCTGGGTCTCAGTGACTTAAACGGAGAAAAATCAAGCAACATCGAGGCTGCTAAGACGCATCTTACCGATGTCATGAAGGCATACGGGATTCTATCTGCTCTCGTCTTTCCTTTGAACCCCGTCATAATTAAGCAAATGCTTCACCTATTGGGTGGCACAGAATGGGCTGGTTTTGAAGTCTATCGCCTACTTTCGATTTATTGCTTCTATATACCTTTTTTGGCATTCAATGGTATAACAGAGGCCTTTGTCTCGTCTGCTGCTAATGGGTCAGAGCTTCGATCACAGGCGGGCTGGATGGGGGTTTTCTCAGCATGCTTTGCGTTAGCGGCCTACCTTTTCCTGAGAGTTGGCGATCTTGGCGCTCGTGGCTTGGTGTACGCCAATATAGTCAACATGACAGTGCGCATACTTTGGAGTCTAAATTTCATACGAGAGTACATGCACAACCATGACAACGACATAACGTTGACCGAATTCGGTTTGAGTCCTCATACCTATATTACTGGCTTTCTAATGACCACAATCACAATACTCGGGCCAGAGCTATTCCACAGCGATTCTCATGGTCTGATACGGGCGGCAGGGTTTTGCGCCTCGTATGCCATTCTAGTGTGAGTTACCCTTTGGACAAGACTTGAATGAGCTCTGACGGCCCTCTATGATAGTCTATATTTCGAGAGAACGTATTTAAGGGAATTGTACAACCGGGTTTGTCACACTTGGAAGCAGGACACCTCTTACCGCAAGACAAAGTAATACAAGTTCACTCATCGAAAACAATCTTTGTCGCTGACTTGCTGGTGTCCACATCCTTGAAGAATGCGCCGTACGCACCATGCTGCTTCTTCTTCACGGTTGTTCCAAACTTTAGCAAAGCGTCCGGTACATCTTGTTTGGCTGCTCTCAGAACGTTTATCAACCTGTGACAAATTAGGAAGATGGCCACATTAGCAGCCTACTCGAATACATAGGCTGATTGACGGTTCCGAGAACTTACGCGCCAGACTGAGCTTTATCCGTTTCTGTGAAAAGAGTAATGGCATGGCCATCGGCTCCGGCGCGCCCGGTTCTATTTAAAATCGAGTTAACACATTTCAGCCGAGAGAGAACATCGTTACTTACCTGCCAATTCGATGTACATAGTCCTCGACTGTTAGAGGAAAGGTGACATTGATAACCAATTTGACTGATGGTATGTCAAGGCCACGGGCTGCCACGTCGGTGGCAACAAGTACAGTAGCCGCCCCGGTTTTGAATGCCTCCAGACTTTTGAATCTTTCGTGCTGGTTCAAGTCTCCATGTATCCCTGCGACTTTAAAGTTCTTGGTTCGTAAAAGTCTCTCGACACGAACCGCTTCTTTCTTGTACAAGCAAAAGACAAGAACCTTATCGCAAACTGCTGCGCCTCGCTGAGAGCGATTGAGCAACTGCACCAGTCTAGCCTCCTTCTCCTGAGGCTTCACAACCTCGACCACCTGTTTAATCCTGGTATTAGCACGCGGATCGGCGGAAGGATCACCACCAATGGTGACAGTCACAGCTGAAGTCATGAAAGTAGCCGCCAGGTCTCTGACGCTTGGAGGCCAGGTTGCAGTGAACATAACTGTTTGGCGTTTTGAATCTGGCATGGATCGGATGATGTCTTTTATATCCTGTTCAAACCCCTTGTCCAGCATGCGATCCGCTTCGTCCAAGACTAGGTATTTGACCTTTCCAAGATCCACGGAGCCATCGTTTTGAAGATCTTTTAGTCTACCAGGGGTGGCAACAACGATAGCTGCAGTCTTCAGGGCCTCGCGCTGTTCGTCTTTCTTCACACCCCCGTAGATACATGTTACTCTGATGTCCACAGAGGCCCCAAACTTCGACAGCTGATCATATATCTGCATTGCAAGCTCCCTGGTTGGCGAAATGATGACCGCTGCAGGTCGTGCATGTTTTCGCTTGACCTTCCCTGAATCCAGAATTTTCTTAATACACGGCAATCCGAAAGCCAATGTCTTCCCGCTTCCGGTCTCTGCAATGCCTATGACATCCCGACCGGCGAAGAGTAGAGGCCATGTTGCAGATTGAATAGGTGTTGGCGACGAGAAAGAGCTCAATGGGTCATAGATCTTGCTGAAGCTGCTAGGGAGGTGAGAAAAAGAAATTATGGGGCGAAGCGGCGGCGCTTCCGAAGAATCAGTCACTTTAATGCAATGCTTCGCGAGAAACTGGTCTATCTCAATCTGAGAAAGATCACCTAGGGCTGGTGACTGGACGTAAGTAGCATCTGATATAGGATCAAGTTCATTTCTAATAGCTTCCGCAGACGGCGAGACCTTCGATCCCTCTCCATTTCTTTCATTCTTGGATCTCTTTTGGGGCCGGTAATCGCCACCTTCGTGTTGGACACGCTTGGCCATAATGAGGATCTGTTGAGGTCTGGTCTTTCCTCACTTTTGAGACCAGGGACTGAGCAAATACAGATAGATCGACAGATATGGGAAATAGAAGACGAAATCTCACAAGAATGAGAAATGTGAACTTGCGTAAATCAAATAAGATATGGGATCAAGAGATGCTGTGTGTGGCGAAGGAGTGGGAAATTTTTCTTGGAGAGCAAGTAGGAACAAAAATTGTCATAATTTTATTCTGCCAATCAACACCGCCGATATCTCTAGCATATTCAAAATTGGTGTCATTTCTCGGTGTCATTTCAAATAAATTTCAGGCAACCCTACTTGGGGGGTAATAATGGTTAAGTTGCATTAAGGTCATCTCATTTAAAGCCCAGAGTTATTACCATTCAAAAACTATCTATATATTATGTATATATTTGTAGCATACCCCTAAGCGCACTTCTATAATTACTTGGCCTACTAGATGAGCTCTTAGAAAAATGGCATTCCCTTATGCTCTATCTTGATAAGATTATCCACTCCTTAGAAGCTAAAGAGAGCTTCCTAGCATATAATTGTCACGGGGTTGCGGCCCTAGGGAAGTCACTACCTCAGGGAGGCTCATAGGCATGTTCTAGGCCTGGTGACTGGTGATCCCATAGGGAATCACCATTGTGACCTTTTAGTGTTGTAGATAGTAGCTGCCTAGAACACTACTTTCTTACACTAAGCTTATGATACTTGGGCTTCTATACACTCCTATAGTAAAGCAGATTAGCCTGGAATCCTGGATTCAGAATATAGCGTACTTAGAGACCTAGCACTCCTTTAATAGCATTAAATATTATAGGCTGTACCTCTCATATGGAGTACAGAGTAACACCCCACCCCCTGCCTCCCTGCCGGGGCCTACCTCTCTACATACTAAGAGAACTCAAGTATATGAGTGGACTATATAGTCCACTAGCTCAAGACAGCCGTGTTTTCCTGTGTTATCCTTAAGGGGGACATGAAATGGGGGAAGGCATGAGATTACAGGGACAGGGCTCCCGAACTGACACAAAGACCATCTTTGTGGTAAGTACAAGGCTGATTGTCATGAAACAAAATCACCTAGAAATGGCAGCTTACTTAGACTTCATCCGACTTCATACCCTCGTATGCATTGCCCTTCCCAATTACCCAAGACATACGTGGTATGCGAGACTCTGCGAACTTCCAACCAAGTCGAGTCCCAAATCCTTGGAGTTAAGCGGAACGACGTTATACACTCATACATGAGGAATGTCTATAAAGCTAAAATCGTGCATGTAACATATTCAAGCCTCGGAAGGATCAAACTTGGTCAGGAAAGGCAAATCTACTATCAATCCAAGGGATTTCAAGAAAGGCCATATGAATTAATCAGGGCCATGAGGCGAGATGCTTCCTCCGAGTAGTTGACAGGTTTGGCCGTCGATACCTGATAACGGATGCTAATTAAGATGTCATCAGCGGTAGGTTCAATACGTAACCAAACAGCAGATGCTTACCGTTGCTGATCTCCGAAGTGATCTAGCTTAGCCCGACATCTGAAGTTCCAAGTTCGACAATTAGCTTCCTGGAAGATGTCTCCAGCGGCCTTTTCTCCATTTTGGCGAAGATCCATTAACTGATCCGCAGACGTGCCCATTAACTGTTTCCCGACCTCATCGAAGCAACTGAGCCAGAGCTGGCCTGTATGGTCGCTAACATTGATGAGCATGATGTATCGATACTCTGGACGTGGGTGAGTTTTATCACAGCTTTCGCACCGCCATTGACCGGGATCCAGTTCCGTCACTTTTTTATTGCACCCTTCGGAGAGGCAAGCAGGGTAGCACATGTTGTCTTGCTTTATATAAATAACAGTCCCCTTGAGCGAGAAGTAGACTGCATCTTCTGACATCCCTAGTTGTTCCTCGCGTATCTGGGCGATTGTTTTCAAGTGATCCAATCTCATTGCAGACGAGGATGCATTGGACATTGTGGCATGTGAGGTGAATGTCTCGTGTCTGCCTTGAGCATCATACCAACCCTTGAGACGATGAGCTTCTTCTATGTCAGGATCGACAGTCATTGAGCCAGAACTCAACAAACTCAGACTTCGTCCTCCAAAATCAGAGACTTTGACACCCTTGAAAGCAATTACAGACTCTGGCGTGGCATTGAAATTCAATGCTGTGGAGCCCCAGATGGTTAGACGAACAGAAAAACCCGAGCTATCGACCAAGGTAAGCTCTCGCTTGTCATAGGGCTTGCTCGTCGTCTTTGATACGATTTGAGTAGTCTCCCCGACGTCTTTCAGCACACCAATAATGTCAATGGTGGTATCCTTCTCAACAGACTGGAGATCGCCCACGGTTGTGAAATTGAACCGAACTTGCGGAACATCGCTCTGATCCTCTGCCTAAACCAAAAAGATATAAGCTTGTCAGATGCAACTGGGCTCGAGAAATTCACTGACCTTTTCAACAACTGTATCTTTTTCAAAAGTAAGTTCGTAGTCATTGTTCAGATTGGTAAATTGCTTCTTTGCAATCTGAACCCGGCAGGGGCTAGATATATAGTACACGCTTCCTTCATGAAAAACGTCATAGAGCAGGTCGCACTGCTCATTGAATCCAGTGGCACGGATTTCACCACTATCATCGAGTAAGTTGACACTAAATAGCCTGCCCTCCGAGTTTCTGTTGTGCCAGGTTTTGATTGCTGATTTGCTCGTGCAACGCGCCTTGATCGTCCATTTATGTGAATAAGGAGAGATAGCTTCGATCGGATAGATGGTGGCGTGGGTCGATGTCAAAGAGGAACGTGCAGGCTGGACGCGAGGTTCCCCTCGCTGATTTTGAACCTTGGAGCCATAAAATCCACCACCGGAGATTGTAGTCGGTTGGGGCCTTTCATCTTCTTCCAGCTTATTTTCCAATGGTTTCGGTTCTCCGATTTTCTCTGCTTCGCCGAGTTCCTGCAGGACTTCGAGATCCAAGATTATGAGAATTCTATGGTGATATTAGCTGCGTACATAATTTGGGTTTTCGGGGTCTACAACTTCTTCCCCTTGACGGAATTTGCTTGGAATGACTTCAAACGGACAAAACACCCCTTCTTTAGCATGCCACTCGTTACGAGTGGATTCGCCTCTGTCATACAACGCGTTAATCAATAATAGATGACAATTCACCGGTCCTCTCTACTCACGTGTTGCAAGCATGGTCTGAACATAATTCGAGATATCACTGAACACGGCTCTGTACCGCTCCTGATGGTTCGGTTGGGGAGGCAAAGGTTTAATTTGGACACACTGGACGATAGGTTCATGGATTTGCGGTTTGGTTTCATCGAAGATGGCGCTGCAAACCTATCAGTAAATCCTTGTCGTAGCTAATATGCCAGCAGAGGGAAGGAGAAAGGATTGTCTCTGGCAAGGGCAAGATAAAAGAGCTCGCGTTTACCTGAGCGCCCCGACTGAGATCTGAGATGCTGCATCGAGAGCCATCGCGCAAGCAAAAGTTGCTGGATTCGTAGTCAGATGGTAAAAGGAGAATAGATGAAAATATGTCCAAATATCTTGGGAGATGGGGAAAAAAAGTATAAGTCACTTTTCAGTCTAGTATTTGTTTTCCTGAAGCTGATGCCAGAAGAAGTAGGAACATACCTAATTAAAGATATATGTGAAAACACTTTTTGGCAATAAGGTCTACGCGTGCTATTTCGTGTAGAACATCCCTGACGCGTTGAGTGGCTACTAGATAGGCGGTAAGGCATGGTCCAAATCCCGTCCCCTAACTAAGGTACTACGTATCTGGTGGACCCACTGCGACGTGCCCTGTAGCCTAGGTAGAAGGTAACACCCACAGGGCACCTTCAGATACCTGCCGACCTTAAGGTGGTTGGTGCATGGTAAGGAACTTAGGAAGTCAATCAAAACAGCATTATTATTGGTATTAATTACACTAGTTGCAGCTTAGCACTTAGCAATGGTAGGGAAGAAACCTATATAGACATTCTCTACGGAGCTCACTGACAGGCAGAGGTTAAATCTTAGTAATAATCCAGCTTAAGATACTACCTGCAGCAGTCCCTTTCGGATAATAACAATCAATAGTTCCTGAGGCTACAAATATGAACAGGATCACTCTTTAACATTGGAGGCCACATGCTTGAGTAAAGAATAATCGAAATAGGGAACCTTCTTCAGGAATTTATGATGTGACCTAGGACCAGCATGCCAGGAACAAAATCGTAAACTGTCTACTCCAAATCTACTCCATACAGTCAATAATCTAAGGTTATCATTATGATTATTAGGTATTATTATTATCGGTGGAGTCTTGATTATTTAGTTGATCACATTCGCAACCCCCACCTTGGTAAGAATGTTGCAAGGTGGTGCTCAGTAGTGGTGCTCGGAGGTAAAGTATATTTGCCTCACGTCACAGCTCACTAATCTACACATCTTTCGGTAAAGCTGAAAAAGTATACGAGTTGTCCTACAGCTTGCTATAAATTCATCAAAAGTCAGTTACTCACTCTCTGATTTGATTATACGTCAATTATAGCTAATGTCGATCGAGTCAGGATTATCATCGGACACATTGACGATGGCTCATTGCCCTCATAGTAGCTCGCAGGGCAAGTGTAATAAAGCCCAAATGCTAGCCAAATACTAATTCGGACTCCTATAGCTTTGCGACCGCCATCTCAATCCCAAGCTGTCTATCGCGAAGAGTGTACGCAATGTTTTGACTCTGTGGTTCGTCGCTTGTTCCCTTCTTAACATCTTCAGCGAGGGCTAAACCTATTCTAGGATGAGGAGACTGGCCTAAATGTATGCCTCTTTTGTTTCAACGGCGGCTGTACAGGAGATCGAAACCATGCCATGCTTCATTACAAGCGCTTTTGCCATCCTTTAGCACTGAACATCAAGAGGTCGCGAAAGAAGATACAGGTGCGTGGAGGCCATATCTACTCGCAATGCGTACAATGTTCGGTGTCATGATAACATAAGATAATAGCGTGGCGAACCACCACAGAAAATTTCAAAGCTCGCGATTGCTGCAGAGACGGATGAAGATCGCTACGACACAGCAATACGAGTAATCTGTTATGAGTGCCGCTTGGATGACATCGATGCATCCAGTGGCAGCCTTGCAGTCGTGGTAGATGGGGTAATGAAGGCCATGACCTTCTCTAAGAAAGAAGAGATTAAAGCCTGGGAGCAAGAGTTTGTCCCATGCGAGCATACGCTTTGCTTAGTGCAACAAACCCCTAAGCAGACTGAGTCTCAAGGTATGGTTTTCCTCGCGGGTCCGATCCCCTGCTAACCAAGGTACGCAGAGCTGAGTCAGTGCACGATGTGTACTTTAAAAGAGAACCTTTGGCTTTGTTTGGAATGTGGTAACCTGGGTTGCGGACGCAGTCAGTTCGGGGGATTGGGAGGAAATTCACATGCGCTTGCGCATTCTGACTCAACTTCACATGCGGTCGCCGTCAAGCTTGGCTCAATAACTGCTGATGGGAGCGCGGATATATACTGTTACAAGTGCAATGAGGAAAGGACAGACCCGGACCTCGCTGCTCACCTTGCTCATTGGGGAATCAATCTGAGCGCGCGCGAAAAAACAGAGAAAAGCCTCATGGAAATGCAGGTTGAACACAATATGAAATGGGAGTTCTCAACCACATCTGCGGATGGTCACGAGCTCACCCCGTTATTCGGGCCTGGGTTTACAGGTTTGACCAATCTAGGAAATAGCTGTTATCTTTCGAGCGTGGTACAGTGCCTCTTCTCCTCGCCAGAGTTCCAACAAAGATATTATCATAGCAGCGAAGAGCCACCTTTATCTCAACAACCCGCTGAGGACTTCGAGACGCAGATGAGAAAGCTCGCTGATGGCATTCTTTCTGGGCGTTACTCAAAGCCCAATGCAGACGTGATTGCCTCGCCTGACTCTCCTGAGGTGCCCCATCAAAAAGGGCTATCGCCAGCAATGTTCAAACATCTTATCGGTCGTGGTCATGAAGAGTTCTCAACCATGAGACAACAAGATGCGTTTGAATTCTTACTTCATCTGTTCAAGCTGATTCAACGTACCCAATGCCCCGAGGGCAGAGGCAATCCTATTGATAATTTTCGATTCGCTGTCGAGCAGCGTCTACAGTGTCTGTCTTGCAAAGGAGTCCGTTACAGAATAGATGAGCAAGACAACGTCTCTATTCCTGTTCCCGTGCGTCGACAGCTGGGCACTAATAGCACAGACCCCTCTGCGGATTCGGAGTTCGAATCAGTGACTCTCTCTGAATGTCTCGATGTTTTCACTGCTAATGAAATCGTTGAGCTCAGCTGTCCCTCCTGTGGAAGCAGCAATGGGTTCTCGAAGCGTTCGTCGTTTAGGACAATGCCGCAGGAACTAGTGCTAAACGCCCGACGATTCGAAGTCGTTAATTGGGTTCCGAGGAAATTGGATATCCCAGTGGATGTCAGCGACGACCCACTAGATTTCAGCCCATATGTTGGCTCCATGAAGGAGGAAGGCGAAAAGCTCCTACCAGAAGACGATCCATCCGATAGTGGGTTCTCGCCTGATCAGAACATCTTAAACCAGCTTCTTGCCATGGGCTTTCCCAGAATTAGGTGTGAAAAGGCGCTACATGCGACCGGCAATTCAGATACCGAAGCTGCCATGAACTGGTTGTTCTCTCATATGGATGACCCAGATATTGATATGCCGCTTGTGGGCAGCAAGGTTACTGACCCCGCTAACATGGCCCTACAGGATCCGTCGAAAGTAGGTCAACTGAGTGAAATGGGTATTGATGAGGATCGAGCCAAAAGAGCGCTCGCTGCGACAGGGGGCGATGTGGATCGAGCTCTCGATTGGGTATTCAGTCATCCCGACGAGATGCCTGAATATGAAAGTGGAAATCGTGACTCTGGTTCTCGGCTTCCCGGCAATGGTAAAATTCCTGGCTTTCACGAAACGCCGGCTAGATACCAACTTCGGGCTATTGTTTGCCACAAAGGTACATCAGTACACGCTGGGTGAGTCAGAGATCCCGATCTTTCAGATTTTATCAAATTGCCAACTGAGAACAAACAGACATTATGTTGCATTTGTGCGGAAGATGCTGCCGGGCCAGGATAATCCTTCCTGGGTTATGTTTAATGATGAGAAAGTCGTGGGAGTCGATGATATTCAGGATATGAAAAAGTTTGCCTATCTATACTTCTTCTCTCGAGTCGAAGCTTGATCGACTCGTTGGCTGTATATGGCTCCAGACTAGGGAATGTGGGCTCCATAGATAGGGATCCGTGACTGATGTACCATGTCTTGTGCAGTGAGATGTTCATGGGTGTGGATGTCTTCTATACTGATGGGGAGGTGTCAGTTTTAGTATATCTCACTGGATTGTTGCTATGAAAAATAAGACTCTTGCGTGGCAATGGTATAAGCTAGCATGCCTGATTCTGTATGTTGGGGGAAATAGTTGATTGTCTCTCCTATCTGCTGCTTATAAATATAAGTAGGGATGGCACACCCAAGTGCTTATTGATGTCCTTATTAAATAAAGAAAAAGAAAAAGAGCATAATACTGCTAATGGATGTAAACTATAATGCTAGATAGGTTGTTGTCAGCCTTAGCTCAGCGAAATCAGATTTCTCTAAGGTCAGCTACTAAGGTTAGATGTTAACTGGAGAGATTAGTATGAAGGGAGTTATTGTGGGCCCATTATCATATTGGAATAATGTTCATCGCAATGGGAGAGGATCCTTTAAAACATGTGGGGGTAGGGGGTAGGCCTGCAGCTGCCCTGTATATGTCCTACTAATATTAAAGGGATTCTACCTCCCTTTTATAGTTCTACATAGGCTATTAAAGAATATAATGATCTAGATGATTATATATATAGTATTAATTACTAGATGTTACTATATATACTTTATAGATTATATTACCTAGCTTGTTGTGTGTCGACTTATCATGTGCATGTATGTTGCTTATCAATAATAGTAATAGATAAGAATGAACAACCATCTTCCCTATCATTCAAATATCAAGCCCTACTATTTGGTAGCATGTCCTTGGCTGACTAGGACTTGATTTAGGAATCTAATTAATTAATTTATTATCTACTCTTATTAAATTTAATTAATTAATAATAATTAACATTGCAGTAGATGTCCCTATACTTATTAAACTAGTAAAATAACTTATAGTTCTACTAATTTCTAAATATCTTTACTACTTTCTAGGAAAGGAGATTAATCACCTAACTCCTTAGTTCTATTACTTAGTTTTATCAGAATATATTAATATTTATTAAGTTATATTAGTCCTTATTATTTTTTAATCTTTTATTTATTAAATTATTACTATATTTAAAAAGTATTATTATTTTACTTAAATTCTATATTAAATTCTATTATAGCTGCTATTTATTTATTAAGTTATTATTATATTAAAAACTACTCATCATTATATTAGTCTATATAA